CATGTATATTTTTTCCTTTTTTTTATCTACATCATTTTTTTTTCTGCGACGTTTTCACATACAGGAAGTTGTTGTTGGAAATAAATGTTGGTTCTAACAGGAAACAGTTTTGTGACCAATTGCGCTTTTTTGAAGCTGACCAGAGTTACTCACATCAAGTAAAAGCACTCCCCGCGACTGCACATTGTAGGTAACAGAGTCCAAAAACAGGATTTCATTGAGCTAGTTGCTCAAGTAGTGAACAAAAAAAGTATGAAAAAGCCGTCCTCAAATATGACACTCTTTCTTGCATTTGATCATGATCATTGGACGAGACCAAGATGGTCAAGATCAGCAGTGATATGCAGAAGGTGACGATACATTACAAAGCGCGGAGAGAGACCAGAAAATGACTGGGCCAGAGAGCACAACGGCATTAGTACGACGGCACGGGCAATGTAGGACCGCATGGGCCTCCTTGGGCCTGAAACCAAGGTTTCCGGTGCTTTGCATGCCATTTTCCAGTTTTTGAATGCAATGCACTTCTAACAACCAGTCTATCCGGATCATCTGCATCATTTTGGGTTGTAGCCTCAGCTTATCGCGCGAACGTGCCTTTAGGTTTGATTCCGCAATTTATGCTTTCATCTACAAGATAGTGTGCATTGCAGAAGTCCTTCTCTCATGATGACTGCATCACAGTTTTACGTCACACATGAAAATGTGAAGGTCACGACCGCGCAAGAATATTTTCACCCAGATCTTTCTCTCGCTTTTTGTTTGACGAGTTTGATTAAATACGGAAATGTTCATCGCGCTGACGAAATCAGGAACACCACTATCTGGCCCATATTCCGTGCGCGCGGACTTTCATCAGTGCACCACAGCTTCAAATCGCTTGACTGACATGAGCTGTTCAGTCATACCTTCCAATTCAACAATTTTTGTAACATTTGCGGGATTATCCTCTTGTGGTTTCAAAAATTCTGAATGTGAGCTTGACCGCATGGTTGATGCTGCGTGACAAGAAGAGTCTCTCATTCATTACAACTTTTCCAGTTTTTGTCGGCAGTGGTGTACCAAAAGCAGATAGTACACGGTTCCACTGTTTACGAGATTGCATCGGACAAGCGAAGGAGAGAGAAGAAAATTTTTACGTCAAGATGCACACTTCACTCTGAAGTTGATCGTTCGGAAGGAATTTCGCAACAAGTATAGTGAAACAATGATTATTTGAGCACAAACGAACGAAGAACTTGAGAGGATGGACTTTGCGGGCGGCTCTAACCAAGACAATTAGACAACTGTTCTTCGAGCCGCGCAGGCGACTGCTTACAGGGAACCCCAACAGGTCGACCCGGCCATTTGCAATGAGAAGTAGGTATATGGACGTATCTCGAGCCGCTGAATCCAAATCTACTCTCCGTTTTTGCGGAACGATTCTCTGAACGGAGTTACGGACCATCAAATCTTTGCTCGTTGTATAAGTTGAGAGGGATGGTTGCTCACGGCAGGTCGCCGATGGCCTAGTGGATAAGTGCACTGATTCAGGAACACGATGTCGCATGTTGGAATCCTTGACACTCCGAACATTTTGCTTTTGTTCAGAACATTCCATATGAGGTGCTCCAAGAACACTCTGTTTGGCCAAGTTGACTTGAATCTCTGATTATTTGACAATAGAAGCGATCATTGCTCCATCTGTTACACCTTCTGAAAACTTGAATGAGAACTCCAATGAGAATGACCGTTTCTAGAGCTCGCATCGAGGAATGGAGAAGGTCGCCACTACTACTAGGGAAGGTCGTCAGGTCCAAGTGGCCATTCGTAATGAAATATAGTTCACTAGACGTGGTTTTGGACGCTGATCTCGAATCTGCCTTCGAAATTTGCAGAACGATTCTCTGAACGGAGTTGCATTTAAATTCTGTGGGGAATGTCTCTTTTAAGTCTAGAATGCATTCAAACGTCAAATGGGTGCCATATTCGTGTTCAGGGAGCAAAATTACCCTTGGGGACAGGTTTCTAGCCAGATATGAGGTCTTGACCTATCTTCAAAAGTCCGGTAGCAGTTGATCCGATGGTGGTCACCACTAGTTCCAGGGCCAGTCTCTTGTCGATTGCCTGTCTTTGGCCGGAATTTTCTTCTATATACCAGGAAAACTGGAGCAGTAACAAAATGAATGCGTAAGAAGGTGCAAGACAAGGCGTTGTGCAGGCAAATGTATCTGCAGCTGAATAGGTGTGAACATCAGCTGAACTAACCCATGGATGGTTCAATTATGGAAATCAGGTCAAAATGCCAGATTTGGCTAGCAACTTGTGTATAAAGGTATTTTGACCCGCTGAACACGAATATGGCACTCGCTGAGCGTGAAAACGCCTGTATCGCGCACGACGGGCACCTGTGCACCCCAATATTTTCCTGCACTACAAGGCTTCTACAAGGTGCCTAGGCGCATTCAATGGACGCAAAGTTTTCTTCAGGCAAGATTAGGTGAGCACTGAAGTAGTAGTGAAAGCAAAACCACATTTTGCCACGTTTGCGCAGGAAGCAAAAAAGTGAGGCCCAGCAGGGATTCGATCCCACGACCTGTTGCGTGGTAAATGCGGTGGAAAAAGCCCCATAACTCCGTTCAGAGAATCGTTCCGCAAAAACGGAGGGCTGTAGATTTGGATTCAGCGGCTCAAGACACGTTCCACATGTGTACATCTCATTGCAAACGGCCGGGTCGACCTGTTGGGGTTCCCTGTTAGAGCGTCTTCCTTTCGACTGCGCTCTTCCCTCGACGATTCCTCTTATGAGGAGCTCATTGCAGATGAATACCATCTTGCGGAACGAAAGTGTACATCCTTCACACAGCCTGTACACTCCATAGAACTTAAAATGTTCAACATAGGGAGAAAAAGCCTAGTCCATTCGGGTTATTTCCAGATACATTGTGACTCGTATTTTCGAAAAACAACTTTACTTTCTCTCAAGTTTCCCCACATTCAACCTTATGCCTGAAATATTGACGGCAATAATGCCTGTTTGCTCAATGTGTTCCTAGTCAGAATTTCTAGGTGATCAGGGACTACCGTCGCTCACAAGGGAACTACGTGATTGCAGTCAATCGCAACTGGTACCGCCAAACCTCAACTTTTTCTAACGGAAGTGCAGTTCAAGAAAGCAGACGTTACGAAAAATAGTGACGCACGGGCAATGAGGAAAGAATGCCGGAAAAAAATGCGATGAAAACGCTAAAAACCTCAAAGAATGATTTAGGACACGATATAGTGGTCGGGACGAAAGTGGGGCAGGTTCAACCAAAGGGTTAGCGTCTGGTTCGCGTACCACGCCGCCTTGCTCTCCATATGGATGACTTTGCCTACTTTGCAGTTTCTCACCAGGTATCCGATACCTCGACATTGACAGCACATTCCTCTTGTTTGTTGAGCTCTGATCTGCACCGCAGGCATGCACTCGAACTGTGTTGCACCCATTTTCTAGCGTCTCAACCTTCTCTGCATTCGCTGCATTTCGGCCTCCTTCAGACTCGCAAATGCTTTGTTTCCTTTTTCCTCATCGCCTCAAAGTATGTACGAATCAGACCTGTAAACTAAGTGATCGCACAGCCACTGGGTTATTGTTGTTGTCAACACCGTCTCATCCAACTCTGGATCAACCTGAGAACCTCTCCAAAATCAATGCTGTATCCGGCTAGTGGCTGCGATCCGATTTCTTGAAGTTCCTGATTTTTTTAGCGCCGCACTCCTTTTGAATATATCACCGCCAACTACCTCTTAAGCAGCAAGAGGCTCATGTTATCCGTCGAACTGCCCATATTGCGCCTCAGTCTCTACCACTCAGCTTTAGATTTCCAGCAGCAGCTTTCAATTCTCAGCATGACGACTATCTCGGGAATTTCAAGTCGGGCCGATCACAATTTTTCCACAAGCGGTTTTATTCTTCTGTTATAACTCATTACTCAAACAGCCGGCTTCGATTTGCGAACTCATATCCTATGGATTACTTACTTACTTGAATACTTGCACGCTCTTTTCAGCCGTTCTCGGTCAGCGAGCCGAGCCCCACTCGCGTTTCTCATGTGTTTGCGATCTTGAAGCGGTTGCACCAGTGGTCTGCAGCTTCTTGGAGTTGCTTCAAGGAGTCTCTCCAACGGGTTGCAGGGCGGCCAGCCTTGCGCTTCGCGTCTCTCGGATACCAGAGTGTGATGCGAGTGGTCCACCTATCGTCGTCCTGGACTCACATTGTCGAGCCATTCTCTTCTTTGATGCATCCGTATACTACGGCATCGTGGATGGCCGACATCGAGCGCATGTCGTACTGCCGCAAATTTGCGAATCTCTCCTCAGCAGATAATTAGAGGGCCCGTTTCCACTGCTCGTTGGGCACGTGTCAACATCAGCGTGAACGCCTTGTTCTCTGCTCACGTCGCGGATGCGTAGCAAAGTGCAGGCAGTACTGTAGAGTCGAATAGAGCAGCTCGTATTTTCCTGTCCAAAGTGAGTGGGCCGCCTCTCTTATGCGTCCCATTGCCGTCCATGACATTTTTGAGTCTCATTATTTCTCCGCGCAAATGTCTCGTTGTCCATTGAAAAATGAGTGACAAGGTAACGTAACGGTCGGTATCCGGTAGAGCAGTGCCCTTCGAGTGTGATGGGTGACGCATCTGCCCACTCATTGCGCATGACCTCGGTCTTGCTCCGGTTCATCGTGAGGCCAATAGCTTTGCCGACGTTGTTCAGTTCCTCCACCATCCGCTGTAGCTCTGCTGAGTTTTGACTGATAAGGACAATGTCGTCTGCGAATCGTAGGTTAGATAGCTTCTTTCCGTCGACGTTGATGCCTTTATCGTCCCAGTCGAGTTGCAGCATCGCGTGGTTGAGTGCGGTGGTGAACAGCTTGGGAGAGATCGTATCACCTTGTCTGACTCCTTTTTCGATCGGCACTCGTAGCTCTCGTTGAAAAATGCGGATGGTGGTAGATGTGTCCATGGTGCATTTTTCCAGCAGGTTTATGTAGCACGGTCGACACCAGCATGGTGCAGCGCATTCCAAATAGAGTCCAGTTCCACACTCGTATTGTCGATTAAGTAGAGGAGGAGCTGCTTGTATTCCTTGGTTCGCTCAATCAACTGCGTGACAGTATGGATGTGGTCCATGCAACAGAAGCCCTTGCGAAACCCGGCCTGTTCCACTGGTTGATAGTCATCCAGTTGTTTCTCGAGCCTGTTGAGGATTACCTTCGTGAACAACTTGTATGGCTGCGAGAGGAGGGCGATGGGGCGGTAGTTCTTCATTAGGTCGCGCTCGCCCTTCTTGAACAGAAGAACCGTGCTTGACGTCTTCCACTGGTCCGGGACCTCTTGCGCGTCCATGTACCTGTTATAGTAGTGCCTGGTAAGCTGTTTTATGACTTCAGAAAGTCTGCTGAGATACTCAGGTTCTGGTGCCTTCCCCGGCTTCATTTGACGCAAGGCGTGTTCCACCTCCCACTCTTCTATCTGTGGGGCCGCGTCCTGCGTAGGTGTAGGTATGCGTGAAACCGGCATCGTTGATCGGTAGAGATCCGTGTAGAAATTGACGGCGATCTCTTCAATCTTCGCTCTGTCTCGACGACATCTTTGAGACTCGCTCTCGCTTCCGCCGCTTCCTTCAGTCGAGTATTCTTGTAACGCTGAATCGACTCCTTCACTGCGATGCGGCACGCTTTGTTGATCACGGCGCGCTCCAATGGTGTTGATGCAGGGTTACGATGGACGACAGCGCGTTGCTGTAGAAGTGCGCGAGCCTTGTCGTCAATCCTGCCTTTCG